AAAAAAAAAAAAAAAAAAAAAAAAAAAAAAAAAAAAAAATGCCTTCAGGATAAGATAAGAAGCAAGGACTGACAAACAGGCAAGAGAAAAGAATATCTTCAGGAACATTTGCCACCTGCAGGTGAGAGGAAGGAGGACAGAGGGACGCAGGGTGGCTGAGGGCAGGGGAAGGCAGCTGGGGCAGAGGCAGGCCAGGCAGGCAGGCTGTGTATGTGGGGGACAGTGTCTGGATGAGGTCCTCCCTAAAGGGTCTCTGGAGAGGAAAAGAGCTTTTCTCTCCAGATTCAAATAGGCAGCAAGTGACCTCAGAACCCTGATTGCTCGTCCCCGGAGCTGTGGGCCAGGCAGAGCCATCTGGAAGCTTGTGTGAAGAAAAGGAAGTTTTCTTTACGTGTTTGGGCTGTTTAAATGGCTTCTGAGGAAGTTGGGTCCTATTAGAGGGTCTGTTGGCTCAGCCGTGGGGTGGGGGTAAGGGTTGGCTGGGGATGTGCATCTTGGAGAGGAAGGTGCCGGGGTCGAGCCTCCCCTGGCTCCCCACCCCTTTGGGGGGCAGTGTGGCAAAGAGAGTTTTTCTGTATAGAACTCAGGGCATTTTTCTAAGAGGATTTTAGGCAGTGTGCTGCAGTGCGTAGCATAAAACCCCTCTTCTCTCTTCCCCATGGATCTTTAGGAAGTCTACACTGCTTACTGATGCTGTTGGGTGAGTCGATTATTTTAGGGGGACTTGAAGAAAGGTGAACCTGAGCCGGGGCCAGAGGAGGAGGCACACAGAGGGTGCAGTTGGGTTCCTGGGCAATCGGGCTTCCCTTCTCCCGCCGACGGATGGGCCACCTCCCCCCAGACCTGAGCGTTCTCCTCCAGCAAGTCATTTCAAGAGAACCGTTATGTTCCCCAACCTGGTCACCCTTCCCGCACATCCCTACACACGCGCACACATGATTGCAAGGTGCCTGGACTTGCACAGTCAATGCTGCCTGAATCCTCATCTTCACAAGCACAAGGGGAGAGGGGAGAGAATCTCTGATAAGCACCATTCTGTGTCGAGCCTTGAACGAAGACCTGACATACATTCTGTAATTTAATCCTCATAACAGCCCCATGGGCTGTGTTTTTTAGCCCCCGTCTATAGACAAGAGAACTAAAGCTCAGAAAGGCATAGTAACTCGCCCAAGGCAGCCCAGCTAGTGAGTCAGGATTCAAGTCCGGATCGGCCCAACTTTTGGGCCATCCTGTACTCTCCCTCTGGGGCTTCCAAGGAGCCTGGGAGGGATGCTGCAGAGTCCAGAGATCTGGGTGTAGGGTGTCCCAACTATGCCACTCACTTGCTGTGTGGCTGAGACAGGTGCCTCGTCCTCTCTGGTTTGCCCATGTGCAAAGCGGGTGTGGACCATCAGGTGATTTCTCACGCTTCTGCCCTCCCTGTGTGGATACGATTCCTGACCAGCTGGGAATGGGGGCGGGGGGGGGGGGGGGGGGGGGGGGGGGGGGTGACGGCAAGAAGGAAGAAGGAGAGGTTGGTGTGACTTCCAAGGGGGCAGTGGCAGTGGCTCAGATGAGCAGAGGGAGACCCAGATGGAGGCTGGGCAAGGAAGCTGCTTTAGAGCAAGCAGGGACTCTTACATTGGAGAAGTTTCTCGAAAGCGTTCTTTCCCGCTAGGCAGTGTCATAGGCTGAGTGGGGATTTGGGAGTTCGTCACATCTGAGCTCAGACGCGGGCCTTGTCCCTAACAATGTGTCCTTGGGCCAAGGGTCTTTACCTGGCTGAGTCTGTTTCTGCATCCAGGAGAATGGGAAAAATAACCCTAATACCCAGCTCCCGGGAATGTAAGGTTTGCTGTTCACAGGGCAGTCGGAAGGCCAGGGGCCTGGGCATCGCGGGGGAGCTGGTTAGAGCCTGCAGATTCTTGGGTCTTACACTGCCAGCTACTGAGTTAGATTCTACGTTTTTGCAAAAGCACGTAACACAAGTCATGTGCACGCGAAAGTTCGAGAGGCACTGTTGTCAAGGTTACACTGGACCATGGCTGTCCTGTTTCTACCCTAGAAAGGGTACAGTAAATGGTACAATCGTTATTATTTCTATCGTCCTGCCCCCTCCATCCAGACACTTCTTCCCCACGAATTGCCTTGATTCCCACTGAAGCTGGGGTGGTTTTAGTGCTAAAGTCTATCGCGAGGAACAGAAAGTATCTGGTTTATTCAATGAACAAATATTTATCCATCTCCTATGAGTAAGCATATGGAACTCTGCAGTCCCTACCAACAGTTCTGGAGCTCTCCCTACAGCATCCTACGTGCCTTACATGGATAAACCCATTTAAACCTTACACCAGCCCCACGAAGCCATGGCCTTGGCTTCAAGGAGGTTACAAATGCCTAAAGCAGGTATTGGCAGACTTTTTCTGTAGAGGGACAGGTAGTAAATATAATCAGTTGTGGCTTTGCTGGCCATATGTTCTCTGCTGCAACTACCTAATTTAGCTGTTGTAGCTTGAAAACAGCCACAGGCAATACGTAAACAAATGAGTGCGCTTCTATTTCAATAATACTTTATTTACAAAAACAGTGGTGGTGGTGGGGGGGCGCAGATTTGGCCTGCGAGCTGCAGTTCGGACATTTCCTGGCTGAGAACATAATATGCTGTACTGGGGAAGGGCCGCATGGTCCCGGAGTGGGGAGATGCTTCGCTTTTAACTAGCTGTGGGTCCAATGAATAAACACAGGTCGAGTGCCCGCCGCTGTACCAACTTCCAGGCTGGGCATGGAAGACACAGGGGTTCAAAAACAGGCCTGGGCCATGTCTTTATGGGGCTTACAGTCTCATGAAGGAGATACATGTCGTCAGGTAATAACCCAGATACTATGTAATTATCAACCAGGATAAAGTGCTATCTATGGAAGAAAGGTATCCATATGGCACCATGAAGGTATGTGACAGGCTGATGTCACATATAGATGGCCAATGTTCATCGAGTGGTTCGTGTACCCCAGGGCTGTTCTAAGCACTGTGTATCTATTAACTCATTAGCTGTCATTACAGCTCCGTGAAATAAGTACTTTGGTTAGCCCCCATCAAGCGGCAGCTAAAACTTGAGGCACAGAGAGGTTAAGCCATTTGTCTGAGTCCGCCCAGCGAGGAAGTGGGGAAACTGGGTTGTGAACCCAGGAGGTCAGCCTCGAGGGCCTGTGTGTCTTCACCACCGCCCTCCCCTGCTTTCAGACATGCACGTCTTGCCCCTCAGAGCATCCTCTGAGCTCACGTGGGCATCAAGGAGGGCTTCCCCCAGGGAGTGAGGCTGGGGCTGGCATCTGAAGGATAAGGAGAAGCTAACAGGGCACAAGAGAGGCGGGATGCGGAGTGTTCCAGGGAGAGGAAGCAGCGTGTGTGCGCTCCAGGGCTGGAGAAGCATCCTTGCTCAGGGAACTGGAAGATTCTGGATCGCAGAGAGCCACGGGAGAGCTTGGGGAGCCCTAAAGGGAATGAGGCAGGCCAGGGTGGGGGGGGGGCTCACGAGGTACAGGCTTGGGGCACAGAGCTGCGGTGGGCTGAAGCTGTAATGGGGGGCGGGTTGTAGACACAGAGGTGGGGCACAGATGCACCTGCCTGTGGAAGAGCAGAGGGCTTAACTTTGAGGCTCCGGGCACCCTGGTGTGAAGTGCTGGCCCAGCAGGGGCTCGTGCAAATCACGTGGTATGCCTGGCTTCCGCTTCCTTGTCTGGATTAGGTGATCTC